ACGGCAAATATTAGAGAAAAAATTGGAGTATAACGGTATTGTTCACCAGGTGTATATAGATTTTAAAAAGGCTTACGATTCTATTGACCGCCAGAAATTGTATAATATTCTAATCGAGCAGGGGATTCCAAAAAAACTTAAATTAAAAAAAATTAATTACTTAAAATCAGTTTTCTAAAATAAAATTAAAAAATCCTAATCATATTTAAAAAATTATTCCTCTTGAACATTATATTTTTTTTTTAAAAGAGTGAACGGTCTTTTTTTTACTCTAATCTTTCAATTTTCAATCATGTATGATAAATTAAATAGTTATAAATTATATATATAGTTATAGTTATAAATTAATTAGTTATAAACTATTAACATTTGTGTCCCTTGACATTTTGGTCGGGGAAAACTTTCATTAAACAGGGAAAAGTCAGGGAATTTTACTCTGACAATTTGGTAGACTATGCTACTTCAGCCTTTCGAAGCACTTTGGAAGCAGGTTCCTCTCTAACAGGACCAAGATTACTCTCTACAAAACATTGGTCCGCCCTGTTTTAACTTATGGATCAGAAGCATGGGCATTGAAGAAGCAGGATGAAAATAGACTTCTGATCTTTGAGAGATCAATCTTGAGAAGGATTTTTGGTCCTGTTAGGGAGGGTGGAATTTTGAGAAGAAGGAAAAATGCCGAACTTGTTTGCCTTTATAAGGACATAGACTTAGTGAGGTTTATAAAGTTAGGACGACTTCGATAGGCCGGGCATGTAGCACGTATGGATGATTTGGCCATACCCAGGAAAATGCTGTCCAGAAAGATGCATGGACTAGGAAAGGTTGGCATGCCAAATGTGAGATGGGAGGATCCAGTGACTTCGGACGCACGGGCTCTACTGGGAGTCCGAAACTGGAGAGCTGCTGCAGCTGATCATATTGACTGGCGAAAGCTTTTGGAGGAGGCCCCGTCTCGGTGACGGGATATAGCGTCGTATATGTATGTATGTATTTATTTACAAAGCATTGTGAGTTGGTATAATTTGTTTTTTTTTAACTTCTGCTTTTCCTATTCAATAGACTGTATTTCTTTGAAATGTATTTTATTTTTTATTTATCTCCGACACACTTCTCTCTCTACATAAATATATATTTTATTTTATTTTTTTCTTCTCCTTATCTTTATGTTTATTCACTTAAATTTCTTAAGGAACTAATTTAAATCATTTATTTGCACTATTTTAAATTTTTATATTACATCACTACAATGCTTTGCGTATAAAATTTATTTAGCATTCCTTTCTGATTTCATTTAGTGATTACTATGTTATTGTTTTAGCTCCAATAATGTAGTATTGTAACCCTATTACCCATCTGTTTTCGTTAATATATCCTTAGAGCTTTGTATATAATTATTTTATTACTTGTATTTTAGTTATTCTTTATTGTAATAGGTCTTTTGTCCCAAATTTATTGTTAATTTATATGAACAATATTGTTTTTCTTAAGGACCTAGTCTCAGAATAAAGACGATTTTCTATTTCTATTTACAGTATTTTCATGCTGCTATGAGATAATTTATTCCTTTTTCATAATTCTTGACAATGTTTCGGTTTAAGCTAGGGCCATCTTCAAGTCTGGAAACTTTGTTATTATTAGATTACGGTATAATTTCTTTTACAATTAAAAAATAAATTTTCTTTTACATAACTTGTTATAATGTACTGCTTATTTCATACATTTATGCTAGCATCAATAATTATACTGTTGCACATTTACATGAATTTCATTATTACCTTAATTGAATCCTCCAACTAAGTATCCATATTCAATATCCTTTTTCTTTATCTAAGGAGAATTAATTGTCCTATTAATTTAGGGTTTTCCCTTCATCATCTATGGAGGGACTGACTTGCTATCGTTGTGGTGGGGACGGTAAAAAGGAGAGGGTTTTTACTTAATTATTCTGTATTGGTTTACTATTTTATGTTAAAACATTTTTGTCTTTATTTTATCAAAAGCTTAATGTCTACTGTGAGCTGTGGATTTATCTATTATTTTGTTTATTTGGATTAAGAGTACTACATTTGAAATGATTTCAAGTTTCCTTGTTATATTAATTTAGCTAAAAATTATTATTTAAAATTTAAATTTATTTATTATATCCACATAATGTTACTCAATCCCCTTAATATCCATTTTAAAATCAACAACATTTTTATTATTTTTAGTTATATAAATGGATTAAAAAAAATTTCTTATTTTATTATCCTGTAGGGATAAAGAGGGCTTTTATTTTATTATTCTGTATTGGTTTATTATTTTATCTAAATTGTTGTTAAAATTTGTTATTTTTTATTGTTTAATTATTTTATTTATCATGAAAAGATTATGTATTGAAGTACTGGCTCAAAATTAAGATACACCCAAAACATATATTACTTAAAATAATATTACAAGAAGAGGAAGAACAGATGAGAAAAAAAAATTGTAGAAACATTTTCGAGAAATCAGAATCAAAATTAGAAACTTTAATAATTCACGAGTGTAAAAAATCTTAATCCCCGATATAAAAGCGGAAGGCTACTCGCTATTCCCGCCAAATAACAAGTTGTTTAAAATTAACTTTCAGTAGGTTATTTACATATTTGTATTGCTTACATCTGCAACAGCACCAGCAGCAATAACGCCACCGCAACGATAGCAAGTCAGTCCCTCCATAGATGATGAAGGGAAAACCCTAAATTAATAGGACAATTAATTCTCCTTAGATAAAGAAAAAGGATATTGAATATGGATACTTAGTTAGAGGATTCAATTAAGGTAATAATGAAATTCATATAAATGTGCAACAGTATAATTATTGATGCTAGCATAAATGTATGAAATAAGCAGTACATTATAACAAGTTATGTAAAAGAAAATTTATTTTTTAATTGTAAAAGAAATTATATCGTAATCTAATAATAACAAAGTTTCCAGACTTGAAGATGGCCCTAGCTTAAACCGAAACATTGTCAAGAATTATGAAAAAGGAATAAATTATCTCATATAATAATATATATGAGATATAAAAGCGGAAGGCTACTCGCTATTCCCGCCAAATAACAAGTTGTTTAAAATTAACTTTCAGTAGGTTATTTGCATATTTGTATTGCTTACATCAGTCTCGTTATTTACGAAATTCTTCAAATTTTTAGTAATATATATAGATTCCATCATTTTTCTTTTATTATTATTTTTTATATGAATTATTTTTGTTTTTTTTTTAAACCAAATTGATGTTTATTGTAAGTTCCTTGTGAAAAGCCTATTGATGTGTTTGATTTTTTTTTTTTTTTGGTTTGGAATTGCAGGAATACATTTTATTTCATTCATTTTGAGAACCATTGTGTTTGTGCGATTTTTTGGTGGTGCGATTTTTTATATATATATACTATGCTCATACATATTGTTAATCCTATATAATTGTATAATAATTTTAAATAATGTGTGTAGTGATTAATAAGTATACTGTGTTGTTAGCAACCCAATATAATTGGGCAGCACCATTTTATTTTATGATAATAAAGTGATTCTCTCTATTTAATTATTTTTATTCTGTTGATTCTTCCTAATTTTGGTGTCTTGAGGTTTTCATTTTTTATAGTTCAAGGCCATATTACACTAACATTTTATTTATTTCATATTATCATTCTTGACAACGTTTCGGCCTAATCTAGACCAAAAAATCGCACAAACACAATGGTTCTCAAAATAAATGAAATAAAATGTATTCCTGCAATTCCAAACCAAAAAAAAAAAAAATCAAACACATCAATAGGCTTTTCACAAGGAACTTACAATAAACATCAATTTGGTTTTAAAAAAAAACAAAAATAATTCATATAAAAAATAATAATAAAAGAAAAATGATGGAATCTATATATATTACTAAAAATTTGAAGATATATATATATATATATATATCTCTTTCTAACCTAATATATAAAATATATATATATATATATATATATATATATAAAATATATATATATATATATATATATATATATATATATATATATATATATATATATATATATATATATTTTTTATATATTAGGTTAGAAAGAGAGAGGAGAGAATGTGAGGAGTGGGAACATGTATAGGGGGAGAGAAGGAAGAGAAAGGGTACAGAATGATTATAAATGAATGAAAGAATGAATGAATGATTATAAATGAATGATTATAAATGAATAATGAATAATGAATGATTATAAATGAATGAAAGAAATAGTAAAAATAAAAAATAAAAAAGGGCGAAAAAAAGGAAAAAAAAAAAAAATAATAATATATATATATATATATATATATATATATATATATATATATATATATTATTATTTTTTTTTTTTTTCCTTTTTTTCGCCCTTTTTTATTTTTTATTTTTACTATTTCTTTCATTCATTTATAATCATTCTGTACCCTTTCTCTTCCTTCTCTCCCCCTATACATGTTCCCACTCCTCACATTCTCTCCTCTCTCTTTCTAACCTAATATATAAAAAATACATAAAGTACAGTGGACGTGTTCAATAAATAATAATATAAAAATGCTGTAACACACGCATGCCTCCCACCCGTGAGCAAACTATCCCTATCTGCTCCCATGCACATGGTGGTGGATGATTCCCAGGGAGTCGAGGATTATACTCTCTGCCAACCTTGCAACGTCTTTTATGTCGACATCAAGGCCCTCCTATTTATGAACGCCACCCCGGACCATCTCCTTCCTTAATAAAAATAATTGTTTTATTTATTTTTTATAAAATTGTACACGCAATAGTCACCCTGAGAAATTGCTGGGCAAATTTTTTCTTGAACTAAATGATTAGACCTTCCATATCCCCTAGTTAAAGCTTCTGCTGCTTATGACGTAAGAAAAACATAACTAGCTCCCGGATTATAAAGGATTAAAGACATACAACAAAAGTTCATTGAAGTTTTAAACTAATTAATTATTGGAATATGTTGCAGAATCCATGATTGCTGTCAAAGGAGAAGAAGAGGAAGTTGAGAATAATTATGGTGAGAAAAATATTTCTTTAATATGTAGTCCGTGGTACAGACCCCATTTTTATCTAATTATTAACATCCACCTGAAACTTTGTAAATAGCTTCATCTCATCGTAACCTACAACTATTATATTTACGAAAACTCTTAGAATTTAGGGCATTTTCAACCTGGAGGGAGCAAACTTTGTCTATTTAATAAGGTGATAAAAACTCGTAAATACTCATTTGCTTTCTATTTGGAACATAAGATAATTTCATCATAAAATCGATAAAAAATGTGGCCTACAAAAATATTGGGCCGTTTATCCAATATAACCTCGCTATTTTGAAAATTTGGGGGTGTAGGTTATGCCAAACGGGTTAAAAATTACTTAAATGCCTTATTATGAAATAACAACATTTTTAGATCTTCTCTAAAACCGAATACAAGTTATCTGGCAGAAACAGTAAAATTTGGGCAAGTATTCCGTGACAAAAATCAGTCAATAGCAGCATTTTTAATGGAATTATGATGGGCAGCAAACGATTGCAAATTTGTAAATAATCTGGAAGAACGATTATGTGATCCAATTTTTGTTAGGATTGAAAATATCAATGGTGCATATTCTATATGATATAACTTTAAAATGTACCTTAATGCAAACCTATGCCTTAATATAGTTTTAACTTGGCGGTTGGTTATATGTTAGGATGGGTTGGCCGAGCACGTTAGGGCGTGGTTCCCAGAGTGCCCGGTTCTGAACGATGTGGGTTCGATTCCCACCTGGGTTGATTACTTTTCATTTCTCAGCAGCCCGAGGAAATAAATTATGGCAGCATTCTCAACCTGGTAAGTTTGCGGCGTTAACCTTAAGGTAGCCGTTAGAAGTAGGCAAAAAGAACCATGGTAGGCCGGACTAGTTTCCCCCCACCAGTACCAGTAGTTATATGTTATATATACAATGATTTACATTTACATAGAATATTGTTTAGTGACTGAAGTTTTCTTATTTATTCCTGATATGATCTCCTTCACTTTTTTAAAATATTGTTTTCATGTCGATAGGTGGCCATGCCAACGTGAAACACGAAGAACTTCTTATCCCAGACGAAGGTGAGAAATTAAACCTTTAAACCTTTCATTTGGCCAGTGGTGGTATATTAAATTATTATTATTAGCATTCATTATTCTTTATTTCTTAGTACTTTTATTTATTATTTCTTTAAGATGTTTTTTGTCCTGATTTTTACTGTATTTGAATAGCTAACTCTTAGTTGCTTCTTTCTACGATTAAGTCATGAAGAAGGAAGTTTTTAAAAATTGTTTCAAGAATATATATTATTTAACTAGTCTATTTCCAACTGTTCAAAAGTTAGAGCAATTATAGCTTTTTATGTCAATTCCGAGAATTTGCAAAAAAAAATATTTTTATAATATTCGTTACTATTGTATTGCTCAAACTCTCTTTACATCTAAATCTATATATATATAAATATATATATATATATATATATATATATATATATATATATATATATATATATATATATATATATATATAACGACCTTTTGCTATGGCAAAAGTAGCTGCTTGTGATATTCAACTGCCTTATGAATATAATTTAGCCCCCTTCACTTACGTTAAAAAACTCTTATGGACTGATTTAATCGAAGAGTGGAACAGACATTGGCAACAATCTACCAAAGGACGACCATTACATAAATACATTCCAAACATCACCCCACAAAACTGCAACACAACAAAAAGCACCACATTATAAACTAACCCAATTCCTCACTGAACACGGCCCGACTAACCAATATCTAAACAGATTCCACTTAAAAGCGACAGACGCATGCAATTGTGACGGACTGACTCCACAAACTTTCATACACATTTTAAACGACTGCCAGTTTTACGAACACAAAAGAGCCACCTTCCTGAATTCCTCTTTGACGCAAGGAGACACATGGCCTCTTCCCGAACCCAAACTATACAAAAATACAAGAAGGAGTTGAAGGAATTCATTAATAGCATAAAATTATAAGACATTCCAGCATAGCTCTTTTATCTAATATACTTTTAAAGTTAGACTTATGTATTTTATTCTTTATTTTGTTGATACTCAATTGTAAATTTGTAACATTTGTTTATTCTCCGCATAATTTTTGTATTTGATTTTCCAATGTCCTAAAGTCAAAAATTGTGTCCCCGTCATTTCCTTCTATTATCATTCATTGACTGGACTATCTGTTGAATAATATATTTAAATTTGATATTGCATGTTTTGGCCTTTTCGGGCTAAAGTGCATGACTTAGATTTTTGTTGCCTCAAATTGCATATTTCGCTGGATTAGATGATTTATGAATTTTGTTTTACTATCTTGTTCATTTTTAATTTATAATGTAAGATAGAAAAATATGAGGAAGATAAATAATTTTGTGACTAGCAAAGGTTCAAATTTAACGCTATAAAAGAAAGAAGTAAACATAAATAGGGAATATATTCTTGGAATAGAACTTGCCTAAAATGTCAGAAAACAATAAAAATCTGCCATCGTAGGATAAACTGTTGTTAGAAAGATAGTTATTGGTATTGTTTTGATTTGAATACTCTCTCGTTCTTCAGCCCTTCAGTATCCCTTTCGACTTAAAAGAGCATTGTAGTTATTTCATTATTATTAAAAATAAAAATATTGTTTAAAATATGGATATCAAATTATCTCGAGTTGAAATTTAATGAGAAAGTTATCTTTTATAAGGACTATGAAATATGAATCGATTGTGATAGAAAATCACAGAGAGGCAATGATTGTTGAGCAGATAAGAAAAATTAATTCTATTTAAAAATTTTTTTTAGGAAGACCCTAAGTCCAAAAAATATTTGTTTAGTGATTTAGAAAAATACCAACTATTTGAATGCTTGAAAATCTTATTTTGGAAACTTAAAACAAGATGTGCTAAAATTTCGATATATTACCATTATGAATTAAACAAAATAGATTATTTTTGCAGGTTTTTAGGTGTTGATTATACAATTTTATATATTTCGGATTTTTACTACACAATTTTGCGTTTTTTGCTGCATGTTTTTTTTTTTATTTTCTCTGCACAAAGATCCCATCTCTACTTATATTACATTTCTACTTATCTTATATTCATTTATTTTGTCATTTGTTCTCTGATCAATATATATTATATATTATGTATATATTATATATTATATATTATATATTATATATTATCAATATATTATGTCAAATATTTGCATAGGCCAATCAGTTTATTTATATTGGCTTATTAAATCAATTTGATTTGTTATATATTGATAATTTATAGATGTCTGCAAATAATTTTCTTTTTGATGCATATTTCTCACATCATTTAAAAATATTTGTCAAAGATAATATTAAGAAATAAAGACACCAATAAAAGTTGGTTGGCCTTTTTTAAATTAATTCATTATTGGAAAATGTTGCAGAATCCATGATTGTTGTCAAAGAAGAAGGAGAAGAAAAAGAGGAACCGAAAATTGATGATGGTGAGGAAAATATTAACTTATTTTTATATGTGTAGATGGTCAGTAGAATAAATCAAGGAGTTGATGAGAAAAAACTTAATATAGAAAGTCCCTAAACTTCCCGATGGTATCATTTCACCCAAATGAGTACGGATCCGATACCATCGATAAGCTCAGTGCTGAGTTTAAGAACTTGCCCCATTTATTGACTGTAGAAGATATATTGTAGAGAAGTTGGTTGGGGTTTTCATTCGTCATGAAAATAAAAAGTAAAAATAAATAGATTATAAGTTTAAAACAAAATTTTCAGGAAATACAGTCAAAATTTCTTTAATGAGCTAACCAATGTTTTGATTCAAAAATTTGTGGGTCGCTTATTAGAGCTAAAAATTAAAAATATAAAATTAGCCATTTCCATTCCGCCTCCTCAGTCAACATTAACTTTTTTTCTTTCTTGTTCGGATTACCAGAAGTTTTGGATTAGTAAGGGTTCGGATTATTGAGACTTTCCTGTATAATTAAATTGAGATGTAAAATTTATTTCAAAGAAGGAAAATTTATGAAAGTGTTTTATAGTTTCATGAAATAAAATTTTAATGCCTTTTTGCAATAAACTGGCAATTTATTTTTTCTCTTGGCTTGTTTTAATTATTATTCTCATATTGCAGGTGAGCTCAATCAACAAGAAGAACTGCCTCATCCTGATGAAAGTGAGTTATATTTATTTTATTAATCTTAGGGTAGAAGTACTAGTACGAGTGCCATTGCAAAGCTGATGGTACTTATCTTTATATGTTTAATATTTCTCCATCTTTAAGTCTATTAAAGATATTAATAGATTTAATAGACTTAAAACATTAGATAAGGATAAGTCTGACATAGACTTCTATTGGGTGTCTCAATTTAGAGCAATATCTGAACTTAATGCGTTTGCAGAAGAGCTTTCTGTTCACCACACAAACAGACTTCTTCGATACAAAGAAGACATCCTTGAAAAAGCACACAACTATTATTTCTCAGCCGACATACAAAGAACCTTAAACTCCACTAACTACCCTTTACACAGAATGCTATGCAGTTACAATTCTCCCGATCCTGAAACCTACCTTACATTCAAAGTCCACATAAAGAAATTGAGATGTGTTAGTCAATTAAGAGTTGCAAACCCAGAACACATTAGAATCCATGCAAAAAACAGAACATTTTCGATTGAGTGTCAAGAAACCTTTATTTCATGCAGCCAATTTATTTACAATAGTCTACATCACATTCTCCTTCACTGCCCAGCATACAATGACTATAGACAAAAATTCCTTCAAAACTTCATCTCAGAATCTTCTGATAACCGCAAAGTCGATTCCATACTGAATATCGATTGTATAGATAAATTAAATAAAGTTTACTATTTTATGATGGGAGTTCACAAAGTTCATACACAAAATTGTTGATCATAGCCATGTTCTATTAAGCGTTTGTTTTAGTTTATCTTAAGAGTAATATTTTGTTTATATTTATAAATATTTTTATTTTATATTGTTTCTATCATAGTAACTGGTTCATGTAACCAATATTATGCAGTAATCGTTTTATGTTTTTAATTTTTATTGCTATTCATGTTTTGTGAAAACCACTCTAAACGTTGAATATTGTAAATTTTATTTATATTTGAATTATATGTATGTAAATTTATAAAACCATCTTATTGTGCCATGCTAGGCTCTATTTGTATGGGGAACCCCTTTAAAACAAATAAAATATCTATCTATATTTCTCCATCTTTACTTCAACTGCTATCAGTTATTATAGTACGGTTTAAGGTACAATTTACTGGTGATAATCAACTGCCCCTGCTGGCAGGGATTGTTGGCAGTTGAGCACCCATATAAAGAGAATTGAATGGATTATATATTGTTTGAGCTGTTGGGCTTTCTGTGTATGAAGTCTTCTTCATACTGTTTTGTCCCTGTCCAGAACCAGTGAAGATGTTCTCTGTATGATGATAGTATGGCAGATCTCTGTTTTATTACCATAAAAGAGTTTTGATAATGGTAACATTGCTGCGTGTTTTTTTAGTTCCGACATTAAAGTGTACCGCGCCCTCAAGAAGGCCTATTGTGCGTCGTCCTAAACTCAACTAAAACTGACCAGATGCCTTCGGGAACCTATTAATACCATAACAGGATCAATCGGTTCGTAGTGCTTAGGTAGGGTCAGTGATTTGATCACATCCAAAGTGAAACTATCGCAGTCTAGCCAGATTATCACATCTGCAAATAATGCCATTCCATTCTATATTTTGCGGTTGCCTGCCTAGTATATGGCTGTGTATCATCAGCCTGTAGGAGACGTTTTGCTTCAGTTACCCTCCTACGTTCTTCATCAAACCATGGGAAAATCCACTTGGGATCTTTAAAGCCGAGATAGCCTCTGATGCCTTGGTTACGTCTGTTTCTAGACCATTCCGTGCACCCTAAAGAAAAATATATAAAATCATGAATAAAATACCATTGACCTCAAGTAATTAGATTTATTATTTTTTTTTCTGTGATAATCTATTGCTTATAGGTGCCAGTGATAGTTGCTGTAGCGCTCCGAAATTTCATCAATGTCCATACTGTGATTATAAATCTTTTACACTTCAAGGGTTAAAAAAACATATAATGGTCCATGATACTGTTGAGAAGCGTCTTCCCTATTATGATTGCAACTATGAATCTGTTACTCTTGTAGAACCGTTGTCCTGCTTCCACTGTGACTATACATCTAATACGTCTAAAGGATTGAAAAGACATATAATGGCAAGTCACACAAGTAAGAGGCCTAATCATTGTCAGCAATGTGACTATAAATCTGTAACACTTCAAGATTTGAACAGACATGTAATGGCACGTCATACAGGCCAGAAGCCTCACAAATGTCTTTATTGTGATTATAATTCTGTTTCTCCTACTGATTTAAAATTACACACAATGGCTCGTCATACAGGCGAGAAGCCTCATCATTGTCATCTCTGTGATTATAAATCTGTTGCACCTAGAAGTTTGAAAAGACATGTAATGGCTCATCATGCAGGTCATAAACCTCACCAATGTTGTCATTGTGACTATAAATCTGTTACATCACAAGAATTGAAAAGACATATAATGATCCGACATAAAGGTGAGAAGCCTTATCAATGTCCTTATTGTGACTACAAATCTGCTTTACCTCAAAATTTAAATAAACACATAATGGCTCGTCATACAGGTGAGAAGCCTTAGTATGGTATGTATTAATGGTATCATCATGTAGGTGAGAAGCCTCATCGAAGTTGCGATTATGACCCTGAATCTGTTTTATTTCAAGATTGAAAAGACATACAGGCGAGAAGCCTCATTAACATCCTCATTTTGACTATAAATTGTTACGTTTCGAGAGGTGAGACAGCATACCTCGTATCATACAAATTTGAAAATACATTTAATGGTTCATCGTACAGTAAAGAAGCCTTGTCGTTGCCATCATTGTGACTATAAATCTGTTACATCACAAGAATTGAAAAGACATGTAATGATCCGACATAAAGGTGAGAAGCCTTACCAATGTCCTTATTGTGACTACAAATCTGCTGTACCTCAAAATTTAAATAAACTCATAATGGCTCGTCATACAGGTGAGAAGCCTTAGTATGGTATGTATTAATGGTATCATCATGTAGGTGAAAAGCCTCATCGAAGTTGCGATTATGACCCTGAATCTGTTTTATTTCAAGATTGAAAAGACATACAGGCGAGAAGCCTCATTTTGACTATAAATCTGTTATGTTTCGAGAGGTGAGATAACATACCTCTTATCATACAAATTTGAAAAGATATTTAATGGTTCATCGTACAGTAAAGAAGCTTTATCGTTGTCATCATTGTGACTATAAATAAGTTATATTTTGAAAGTTGGCAAAACATATGAATGCCCATCATACTGATCAAAAGCCTATTTATATATACACCACATTTAGATTTGAAAAATCATATGTGTTAATATTTATATTCAATTGATTAATTAAATGTCCTCACCAGTATGCTGAGTTAAAGTGGCTTTTTCCCTCCTTCCGAAGACAATATTTCCTAGGTACGTCCCTCTACCAAATCATCAACAATCATCGTCCTTCTTACGCCTACAACCTTCTCCAGTTCAAATCCTCAGCTCATTCGCTGTCCACAAGATCTCGACCTTCTAACCTTTACATTCCTTCTCATAGATCTGCTTCATTCCAAAACTCCTTTATTGCTCGCTCTTGTCAATTTCTGGAATTCCCTCCCTATCGAAATTCGACATTCCCCATCCATATCCACATTCAAAACCCTCCTATTCCAATTCCTAACCCAAAAACATTCAGATAGTTGCTAACCATTTGACAACATACATTTATTTCATGCCATTCATTGTTGAATATCAATGCTATTCTTTGCTAGAGATATTAATTTTCTTACAGAGTAAAGATTTCCCTACTCTTGATGTCACTGAACGTATCTATTGGTAGTTTATAACTATTATCTTTTATACACCACTAAATTCTTGCCTATTTTTACATTTTAGAAATGTTGATGATGTAGTTATACATTAATAAACATTTAAATGATTATGTATCTATATATTAATTAGGCACTTTATATTGTCAGGTTCAGCATTCTGTTTTATCAACAGAAACACAAAGCTTATTTAAATAAAGAATTTTATATATTTAATTCTTTGTTCTTAAATGCAATGTTATTCATATTGTTTTCTCTGATAAAAGTGATTTTTTCTCATCCTCTAATGCAGTTTTGAAACACGAGCAAAGCACGAATTAATTTTTTCACTAATACATATCAATTCCTATGATGGAAATCTGGGAGAAAAACACATGTTCATAACGACTTAACATCAAAAATCATTATTTTTATTTTTATTAATAAAATATATTTTTAGGAAATCTTATTTATTACAATACATCCCATATCGCAGAAAAACAAGAAATGAAAGCTTTGCAACAGTTATTTGTAGTCATTTTTGCAGAAAACACGGATACTTTAAAGTGACCGGATAGGAAATCATATCATTTCTTTAGACAATTCAGGGTGAATCTCAAAATTTTTCCTAATAAACCTCTACTTAATTAATATGATCTTAAAGCTTACCGAATGAGGAAGTTTTTCTAAAAATGGAGTAAATGTAGTGCAGTTGAAGTTGAGTAAAAAAATCACAAATAATTTCTGAATTTTTTTTAAACGGAACTTATCTGTGTTTTTCCGTTCAATAATCCTCCTTAAATTGTTTTAATAATGATAAACTCTGTTGGTTTATTATTTTCAATAATCAACCATTGTGATCGACCAAAAAATTCAAAAAAATAACCCCCTCTCAAAATTTGAGGTTTCAGGATGCGTAGAATTCGAAAAACGAATAAAAATATTTTGGCTGTCCTTTTCACACCTTTTCGGAACTTTTCACAACGTGTGGCTTCTCTGCTCTCTTGATCCTGGGGTCTTACAATTGACCTCACTCCTTCTTGGCTGGTAATTTTCTACGTGCCCATGCCCCGTATTACTCCTCCTTGCTTGAAATTTCCAGAAAATAGTTCCAGATGAAGTCACCAGTTTTTTGTGCTTCTATATTAACCCATCTACCATTTTTCCTCCCACTAATCTATACAAATATTGATATGTTCTTACATAATATACTTCAATGTTTA